TCACCCCCCAGGGGGTATGATCATGACTCAATCCCTTCTCCTTTGTTCTCCTCTTGGGATTTTGGGCATGCATGCACACACACCCAGTGTGAGTTTCAAGCCACCCGATCTGGGACTCAAATGGTGATTGACTGCGTGGGAGTCCAGCGAAGTAACCATTACGCCATCTGCTGGTCCTCAGAGTTTCCTTCTTTAAGTGTTATTTTTCAGCCACTAGGGACATATACACACAAACAGCTTTCAGACCTCACAATCTGAGTCATACAGTTCCAAGTAGATCAGACACCTCCTGCCCTCTAACATACATCCCAAAAGAGCAGAGAGACACATTCTAGGGCATATTCCAAGAAATACTCCAAATCTACAATCAATTCATAAATACATAAGAAAACTCGCCACCTGGGATGTACACACTCAAAGAGAACAGGGACCTGACATGATACGATATATACCTACAAAGAGATTAGGGACCCCACATCATGGTAAATACATCCCCAACAGATCAGACATCCGAATCTGGGACAGACGTACACAAACTGCAGAGAGAAACACATTCTTAGAAATAAACTCACAAGCAGATTAGGTACCTCACAGATGGGGATGTATAACAAAAAACTGAATAGACCTCACAGCCTTGACAAACAGACATAAAGAGAACATTCGTTTACTGTGATATATACACTCACAAACAGATCAGAGCCCTCATGCAAGAAATACAACCAAAACAAGAACAGAGGCCTCAAATCCTGCAACATGAAGGTTAGAGACCTTACAAGCAGGGCATACACCCAAAAATAAGTACAGAGACCAGAGATTTTGAGATATATACTCACAAGCAGATTGGAGATCTCACAACTTGAATAGATACCCACAAACAAATCAGCCATTTCAAATCCTTCTGTATCTACTCAAAATCAAACCAGAGATCTCGAAGGCTAAGAAAAAAAAAGCCAGAAATAGATCATAGACCTGAGATCATGCAATGTACATGTATAGAGAGATATAAGAACTTGTATCCTGAGACGTATTCCCAAACATGTCAGTTTTCTTTTTATTGTTTTAGAATTATTTATTTAATTTTATTTATTATTATTATTAAATTTGCTACAGGCCACGTGTGCTCACAAGGGAGAAAGAAAAGTAAGAAAGCAAGCCACCAGATCCAGGGCTCTAAACAGTCGGCCATGTGGAAGCCCAGCACCCAAACCACCATGCCACCTGCTAACATGTCAAAGGTTTTCGTAACAAGAAAAATAACCCACTAAGAGTTCAAAACCTTCACAACTTGGATACATACATACCAACAACAGATTATATATATATATTCAAAAGGTTTATGGAAAAGCAATTAAAATACAAGTTTATGTTGGTGCAACATTTTAAAAATGTATGCATAGTTTGTTTCTTTTTGTTTTGTTTTGTTTTGTTTTGTTTTGTTTTTTAAGAGGTTTTTCACTATAGGGCGTGTGCGCTCGCCAGACAGACAGAGACAGAGAGACAGAAAGTGAGAAATCACCCCCCAGAGGGGATGACCACGCCACAATCCCTTCTCCTACATTCTCCTCTCAGGATCTCGGGCACGCGCGCACACACGCCTGGTGTGGGTTTTAAGCCACCGGGTCCGGGACACGAACCGTGGTCGACTACGTGGGAGTCCAGCAACATAGCCATTACGCTAACTGCTGGCTCCCGATAGTTTTTTCATAATATGCATTTTCTATGAACTTTTTAAGGATTTCCCCCTCCCCCATGTGTAAGTGTGTGTGTGTATGTGTGTGTGCACAAACAAAAGAATCACATATCCTTAGAAATGTACCCCCCAAAACTCAAGAGATCTGACAGCTGTTGGGGCATGCATGCTGCAGGTTGTCAGATTCTGGAATGTATGTCCGTACATATGCACATTCTGGAATGTGTATCCATAAAGAGCTCAGACACTAAACATTTCCTAGAACAGGCTTTCACAAATAGATCAGAAAGCTCCAGATTCCGAGAGAATTCCTTCAACACATGTCAAAGGCTTCATAGTCTCATTCATTCACCAGTGAACCCATCAGACATTTCACACCCTCAGGCACCACCCACAAACAGATCAGTTAGGTCACATCCTGGGACATACACCAACAGATCAGAGACTTCACAAGCTGGACATGGAGCCACAAACATCAGAGGCTTGAGGTCATGGGACCTAACACCACCAAGAGCTCATAAACTTCGTACTCTGGACATATAGACCCAACTAGATCAAAGACCACACATCCTAGGGTAAGGACCAGAAAGAGATCAGAGAATGCAAATCCTGGGACGCACATCTTCAAATGGTTATGGACCTCACACAAGGTTCACTTACTAGCAAGTAGATGAGAAAATTCACAACACTAGACCCTCCTACGAGTACATCAGGGAATTCACATCCTAGGAATACACTTACAGACATCAGAGACATCATTAATTGGGAACCAGCAGTTAGCGTAATGGCTATGTCGCTGGACTCCCACGTAGTCGACCGCGGTTCGTGTCCCGGACCCGGTGGCTTAAAAACTCACGCCAGGCACGTGTGCGTGCGTGCCCAAGATCCCGAGAGGAGAATGGAGGAGAAGGGATTGCGGTGTGACCATCTCCCCTGGGGGGTGATTTCTCGCTTTCTGTCTCTATGTCTCTCTCTGTCTGTCTGGCGAGCGCACGCGCCCTACAGTGAAAATCTCTCAAAAAAAAAAAAAAAAAAGAAAGAGACATCATTAATTGACATGTGGTCATAATCAGATCAGAAATTGCAAATACTGCAAATATTTCAGAGCCCTCACTTTATGTGATATGTGGGGAGACGGAGTCAAAAAGTTCATGAAAAATACGTAGTATGGGGGACCAGCAGGTGGTTAAGGTGCTGGACACTCCCACATGGCCAACCACGGTTCGAGTCCCAGACCTGGCGGCTTCCTTTCTCCCTTTCCCCCTCTCAAACTCTGTGTCTCGCTCTGGTCAAATTAAAATAGATGAATGAATAAATAAAATTAAATAAATAATAATTTTTAAAAATACGTAGTATGGTAAAACTATACACAAATTTTAAAACACTTTGCACCAAAGAAAACTCATACTTTATTTCCATTTTTCCATGAACCATTTTGTTTTAATTGGATGAAACAGAGACAGAAAGAGAAATAAGTAAATAAATAAATAAAGTTAAATAAAATAATTATTTTTTTAAAAAAAGAAAGAAAATAAAAGGGGTCAGCAGGCGGCATGATGGTTGGAGGCACTAGACTCCCACATGGTCAGCCACAGTTCAAGTCCTGGACCTGGCCATTTGCTTTCTCACTTTCCCTCTTTCTCTCGCTCTCACTCTGTCCCTCTGGAGACTCTAGGGAAGAATCGTTTCCTTGTCTTTCACAGGTTCTAGAGCTGCCTGCAGCCTTTCATCTCTTTGCTTTTCACCCACCTTCAAAGCCCTCAGCATTTCTTTTATAATTTTTTTTCATCTATCCTTTTTTATTTAACTTTATTTATTATTATTATTTTCCAGTTTGATCAGAGAGATACAGAGAGAGAGAGAGAGAGGGAAAGTGAGAAAGCAAGCCACCAGGTCTGAGACTTGCACTGCAGTTGGATGTGGGAGTCCAATACCTTTTACCACCACACCACCTGCTGGACCCAGCCCTCAGCATTTCATCTTCGAACCTCTCTCTGATCTCTGCCTCTGTCGTCACATCTCTTTGCTGGACACCTTTGGGGGATCTTTACTGGGCTGGCCACAGACATACATACATAAACAGAGATCTCACATCATGGTACATACTTTGTGAACAGCACAATGACTTCACAAGCTGGGGATCACTCCCCACAAACATCTACATTATTATATTACTATAACTGACTGGTTTGTGTCATTATATTGTATTCAGTGACAATAACCAGACAATAACCATCCTATCCCCCTTATTTAAGAGTCTCATGAGAGGCCAGCAGGTGGCATGATGGTTAAGGGCTCTGGACTCCCACATGGCCGACTGCGGTTCGAGTCCTGGACCTGGCAGTTTGCTTTCTCACTTTCCCACTCTCTCTCTCTCTGTGTCACTCTCTGGTCAAAGTAAAAATAAGTAAAGTTAAATTTAAAAATTAAAAATAATCCTTTAAAAAAAAAGAGTCTTGTGATTATACTGAGCCCAACTAGATAATACAAGAAAATTGTCCCATCTCAAGATGCTTAATTTTCTTTTCTTTCCTTTTTCTTTTCTTTTCTCTTTTCCTTCCTTCCTTTCCTCCTTCCTTCCTTCTTCTCTCTCTTTTCTTTTTGTTTTGCCATAGGGCTCATGCACTTTCCGGAGAGAAAGGGAAAGTAAGAAATTACCCCAGGCAAGGTGGCCACACTGCAATCCCTTCTCCATTCTCCTACCGGGACTTTGGGCATGTACACACATACACCTGGTGTGTTTTCCAAGCCACTGTGTGCAGGACTCGAACTGCACAGATTGCCATGTAGGGTCCAGTGCCTTAACCAACACACCACCTATTGGCTCATGTTTTGTCTGTATTTAGACAATATTATAAAGTAGCTTTGCATGGTCAGCCAGTGGTGTGGTAGTTAAAACAGCTGGATGCCACATGACCAACTGCACTGTTGAAGTCCTAGACCTGGGGGCTTGAGGAACATACCAGGGATGTGTGTGTGCATGCCCCAAATCCCAAAAGTACGAGATATGGTGAAGAAGGGATTGCAGTATGACCATTCCCCATGGAGGGTGTGTTTTAGCTCTCTCTTTATCTCTCCTCCCCCTCCCACAAGCATATATACCATCTGACAAAAATTTTTTTAAATAATAAAATAAGGGGCCAGGAGGCAGCATGGGGGTTAAGGGCGCTGGACTCCCACATGGCCAGCCGTGGTTCAAGTCCCAGACCTGGTGGCCTGCTTTCTCACTTGGCCCCTCTCTCTGTCTCTCTCTGATCAAATTGAAATAAATAAATAAATAGGTTTTTTTTTTTTTCAGGCGGCCAGGAAGATGGTGGACATTCAGATTGAATATGCTTAAAAAAAGTAGCCAATCATCTTCCAAAACAAGAAGAGGGTCCTTCTGGGAGAAACTGGCAAGGAGAAGATTCCAAGATACTGCAAGAATATCGGTCTGGGCTTCAAGACTCCCAAAGAGGCCATCGAGGGTACTTACATCAACAAGAAATGCCCCTTCACTGGTAACATGTCCATTGGAGGACAGATCCTGTCTGGTGTGGTGACCAAGATGAAGATGCAGAGAACCATTGTCATCCACCAGGACTACCTCCACTATATCTGCAAGTACAATCACTTCAAGAAGTGCCACAAGAATATGTCTGTGCACCTGTCCCCCTGCTTCAGGGACATCCAGATTGGCGACATCGTCATGGTGGGCAGGTACCAGCCCCTGACCAAGACTGTGTGCTTCAACATGCTGAAGGTCACCAAGGCTGCCAGCACCAAGAAGCAGTTCCAGAAGTTCTGAGCCTGGATGCCTGCCTGCTTCCCAGGAAATAAAGTTATTTTCCCATTTATTTATTTAAATAAATAAATAAACAAACAACTAAATAATAAAATAAGGTAGCTTTGCTTTGCCTCATTTTTTCAAAAAAATATTTATTTATTTAATTCCATTTGTTATTATTATTTTTTAATTTGACCGTACAGAGACAGAGAGAGAGAAGGGGAAAGCGAGAAAGCAAGCCACTAGGTCTGAGACTCAAATCTCAGCCAGCCATGTGGGAATCCAACCCCACTAACCACCATACCACCTGCCGGCCCGTGTTGTCTCATTTTATCATGGCCTCAAACTAACCTTATCTGAGGCTAGACTAGATGCTATGAGACTGTTTACATCCAACAGGAAAATAACACAGCCTAGCTATGCATGCCAGGCCAGCTTCTGGATGTCAGGGGCTGCTCCCTTTCTCTCTTCTTTCCTTCTTTCCCTTTTTCTTTCATGATAAAATATCTGTTACAGGTGGAATTGTCTCTCCAAAATCCGTATGTTGAAGTTTTAACCCCCATTATCTTTGAATGAGACCTTTTTTGGAATTAGGATATTACAAATGTAATTAGTTAAATTAGAATGAAGTCAGGCTGGAGTAGTGTGGGCACCTAACCTAGTATTACTAATGTCTCTATAAAAGGGGGCAATTTGGACACATGCACAGGAGAATGCCAATGGAAGATAAAGACAGAAATTAGGATGATGCAGTAAAAGCTAAAGAATGCCAAAGATTGCTAGCAAACCACCCGGAGCTGGAAGAGAGGCACAGAACAGATTCTCCTTTTTCACCTGCCAAAAGAATCAACCCCACTAGCATCTTTTTTTTTTTTTTTTGAGAAAGAGAGAGATTTTTGCTATAGGGCACATGTGCTCACGTGAGAGACAGACACAGAGAAAGTGAGAAATCACCATACCCCCAGGGCAGATAGCCATGCTGTAATCCCTTCTCCTCCACTTTCCTCTCCAGATTTTGGGCATGCATGCACATGCACCCAGTGTGAGTTTCAAACCGCCATGTCCAGGACTCGAACCATAGTCAGCTATATCGGAGTCCAGTACCTTAACCAGTATACCACTTGCTGGCTCTGCTTTTTTTAACTGAGAGACAGAGAGTGTGTCACCCTCAACAGGGTCTCGTCACACCACAATTCCCTTTCCCCAGCCCTCTAACTAGTCAGGACCATGAACACCTTGCCCAATATGTTCAAGGTCC